TGACTCTTCACCTCATGTTTGTTTCCTTTTGCCACTTACTTGAAATCTCTTCTCTTACCAGTGGGAATAGTTTCTTCCCTTCCATTCTGCCGACACTTCATGATTTTGCTTACCTCAATCAAATCTCCTATCGGTCTTCCCTTCTCAAGAAAAATAGCCCCAACTTCTTCAATCTATCTTCATAACTGAAGTTCCTCATCTATGGAACTATTCTTGTCAATCTTTTCTGCACTCCCTCCAAAGCCTTCACATCTAGCCTAAAGTAGGATCTCCAGAACTACACTCAACACTCCAAGTGAGAGTGAACTAGTGTCTTAAACAAGTTCAGCATCACTCCTTGTTTGCATACTCTATACCCACATAAAATGAAGCCCAGAAGATGGCACGGTGGCTCAGTGGTTAGCGCTGCTGCTTCACAGTGCCAGGGACCCAGGTTCAATTCCAGTCTTGGGCATCCATCTGTGTGGAGTTTGCACATTCTCCCCGTGTCTGCGTGGATTTTCTCTGGATACTCCAGTATCGTACACAGTCAAAAGATGTGCAGGTTAGGTGGACTGGCGGTGCTAAATTGTCCCATAGTGTCCAGGGAGGTGTAGGCTCGGTGCATTAGCCATGATACAGGGATACGGTAGGAGTCTGGGTGGGATGCTCTTCAGAGGGTCAGTGTAGACTCCATGGGCTGAATGACATGCTTCCACATTGCAGGGATTCCATGATTCTATGAGATATGGCACAGATATGCTTTATTAACTGTGCTCTCAGCCTGTCCTGGCACATTTAGTGATTAATACACATATACATTCAGGTCCTCTGTTGCTGCACTCCTTTATATCCTTTATTTTATATTGTCTCTCCATGCTGTTCCTACCAAAATGAACCACTTCACACTTCTCCACATTGAACGTTATCTGCCAACGCCTCTTTGTTTAAGAGGCACAGTGAGACATCAAATGTACAAAGCATGTTCAATCCTGTCCTCACTTCATGACCCTGCGTACATACTTTCAAGTGGAATCACTTGCTGCAACTCTCCTCTCCCCCTTCCCAACACCCTGCCTCTGGCCGAAGGCACTGGCCAGCTTCACTGAAGCCAGTTGACACAATACAGACCAAGAGTCAAATCACAAGCATATGTGCCAGCTGTAAAGCAGAACACCAGACAAAGCAGAGCAATTAAACCACGAGAGCACCTCAAGGCACTTCGTTTCTAAAAGAATACATTCCGCATGATACAAGTTGAAGATAATGACATTCTTGTAATTCTTCAACTTTATTAACGTACACACTTGTCACGGTTATTTTGTCATTTAATTTTCATCACTTTCTTGGTGTTTTTTTCTGTTCTCTCTGTCTCTTATTACCATTTCATTTCAAATCAGACCAGTGTGGGCTCTGCATTACAATGAAAAGATTGACAATGTCAGTCACTGCTATTATCCATCCCAACTATCCCCTTCTCTACCTCAGTGACAGGATGATCTTACAGATGTCTAACCACAGGGTCCTAACTGTCGCAGAGTAGTGTCTGTTCTTCATCCCTGTGCTTACTGACCAACCACGACTCCCTGTTGACCAATGCCTTCATTTTTTAATTCTTATCCTCATTTTCAACCGCCCGCATCTCCCAAGACCTTTATCTCTTCCTGTTCTGTAACATTCTCCAACGCGACAACCTCGAGTTCTCCTCCCATTCTGGCCACCAGATATGTTCACACTTTCCCGAGTTCGATTATGGGGGAAATTCCGAGGAGAATGTTCCAGCAGTCTGGTTAGGCCTAACAAGAGGAGGCAGCCTTTATACTTAGGTCAGTGTGAAATCAACGTGTTATTCTGGAGGTACACAACGTTCCAAAGGTAGAAGTTAAGTACTTAAGAGATGGAGGTTACCCAGGGTTTGAAGCTCAGCATCTGAGAGGATGGCAAGTTCACAAATGACCAAGTTCACTGCAAGAGTAGCCAGAGACAGGAGACAAGCTAAGGCATTCAACTGGCATCAGGCTTTCCAACAATGAGCCAGGGGAAAGCTTTGATTTGTCAATGAGTTGGTGTTGGATTATGATTCAAGCAGAAGAGCTGTCGAGAGGTTAAGAGGCGTGTTGGGGAAATCACGCCAAACATCACCAGTGGTTGGGTCAAATCTGATCTTATCCTTTGGATCGTATTACCAAGAGAAAGACCAGATTGAGGCAACTGCTGGAGATGATAAATGTGAGTGAGCGTGTGATTAAAAAAAATACATAATCCGGCAGATGATCTGGCTGCCCAGATGGTAAAGGAGGGGTTAGGCATCTGCTGGAGAAGGGTCAACCATGGAGACTGTAGCAAAAAGGTCATAGTGGAAGGGTGGAAGTTACAGAGCACCATGGCTTGCTCCAGATTTCAGTTAGGGCTCTTACATTATTGTATAAAGGGCAGAAAGGTAGACTGGAGAGATTTATCTGATAGCCTGTCAATTTGAATATAAAAGGTAACAACCTCCATTCCACATTCATTGGAGGCAGTGACCCACGCTAGATGCACCAGTGCATTCCCACCAGCCACATGCCCGCACAGCAACAAAATGTTGAATCCTATAGGAGAATATACAGCAAAAGTATATATACAGGGTATATATACAGGGAGGCACCTCAGTACCAACTTCTCGAGGGCACATAGGGGTGGGTATGCAGATCCAGTGAAAGAATAAATGAAAAGAATGGCCCACTTCAAACACCGACAGGAGCAAGGAAGCGCGTGCAGATCAGACTCGTCACTGGCCTCACCTGCATTTCCTGGTCATTGAAGCCAATGAAGAGGTGTAGGGGGTGACATGTGTAATGAACATCTAGATCCACTGCAGTCAGAATCCCTTCACTCCATACCACATTGACACTGAACGTGAGGTGATGACAGCAGCCTCAAATCCAGCCTAACCCACCCAACTACTAGATTCAAGATCACTGCTCATTCCCCAACCTCTCCTCCACCTCAAAAGGTCACAGACACAAAGAGAGACCCTACTCCACCCGCAGAGACCATGCACCTCAACAAAGAGCAGGGTTCAAATCTACAACCCTCCTGACCTGCAAGACTGATAGTTTACCAGCTGCAGAGTTAACCTGCATACTGATTTCACACACCTCTCCCAAATTATTTCTTAAGGGTTTCTGAAGGATTGGTCACATAATAAAGGAGCAGTGTACCAGAGCTGTGATTCTGCCAGGAGCTGATCTGACAGA